TCGCACAGACGCAGCTAGGACCTCATCTTCTCTCTGTCTATTTTTCCTATCTCTCATCCTAAACGTCGAGTAAATCGGAAACTCTCACCATCCATACCCCACCCCTGATTGATTCCCCCCTAAACACGCCGATGTATCTCTTCTTCAAAATTTCTCCTTCTTAGAAATTTCTTTCACAACTGCCTGTGTTCCCAGATTCCTATATAGCATATTATCTGGGGACAAGTCCATTACCTATAATGCTTGCTTCAGTCAGCTCTTGTTTATATACCTCTTTGCAGTAACGGAATTTTTTCTTCTGGCTGCCATGTCCTATGATCGCTACGTGGCCATCTGCAAACCCCTGCATTACACCACCATCATGAACAGCAGAGTCTGCAAGAACATCATTTTCTCCTGTTGGGTAGCAGCACTGATCATCATTCTCCCACCAATCCGTCTGGGTTTGGGCCTGGAATTCTGCGATTCGAACGTCATTGATCATTTTCTCTGTGATGCATCTCCTATCCTGAAGATCTCTTGCTCAGACACCTGGTTGATAGAACAGATGGTTATCATGTGTGCTGTGTTGACATTCATCATGACCCTCATATGTGTGGTTCTTTCCTACATTTATATCATCAGGACTATTCTAAGGTTTCCCTCTGCCCAGCAAAGGAAAAAGGCCTTTTCCACATGTTCTTCCCACATGATTGTGGTTTCCATTACTTATGGAAGCTGCATCTTCATTTATGTCAAACCATCAGCGAAGGATGAGGTAGCTATAAATAAAGGGGTTTCACTCCTTATTACTTCCATTTCACCCATGTTGAATCCCTTCATTTACACCTTGAGAAACAAGCAAGTGAAACAAGCTTTCCATGACTCAACTAAAATGATGGCATTCCTTTTAAAGATGCAGAGGGAAAAGAGTCAGTGAATCCAAATAAAAGGAAGGATAAATAGGCAGAAAACCCGAAGCGTCTACTATTATTTGTCTCTGCATGACTTATTCTCCAGTCATATCGACATTCTCCTATGTTTTACATGTTTACTGTATCCTCGACTTCAATTTTTTACTTCTCATTAAAACTAAATACTGAGGTATTTATGCTTACGATTTGTCAGAAATTTCTGTTTTTGCCAAACATTTTGGTTGCAATCCCTGGAAACACAGTAGAACACATTTTTCTGCCATATTTGTACATTATAAGATGTGACTATGTAGCCTGTATTATAGCTAAGAGAATGGGTGTGGAAGCGATGTGCACTGTTTCTAGACCTGTGATACTTAAATATTCAATAGTTAATCCACCACCCCTGTTCCCCATCTACTGCCCAGATGTCCACATTTCAATACCTTTGTAAGCTTTATGTCGATAATGAATGAGCTTGATCTTCCATCTCTAGTATAGTCTTCACCAAAAGGACAGGCTATCACAGAAAGATTGATAAAGCTTCTCCTCTACTTCAACTCCAGTCCGTTGTCATCTCATTTGACAGGTAAAGTATTACAGAACTATTCCTGCCACTTACTAAGGGAGCAATACTCAGATTTAGTTCTAATTTGGCTACATGAGTACAATTATCACCCATTCTCAAATATTGTCAGAAATACATTCTGTTAACATTTTTTAATGCTTTTATTTTTGTTTTTTAATTTTATTGATTTCAGAAATAGGAAAGGAGATACAGAGAGAGAAACGTCAATGACAAAAGAGAATCATTGATCAGGTGCCTCTTGCGTGCCCTGCACTAGGGATAGAGGCCATAACCCTGGCATGTGCCCTGACCAGGAACAGAACTGTGACCTCCTGGCTCATGGGTCAATGCTCAATAATTTAGCCACACTGGCCAGGCCATTCTGTTACATTTAATGGTGTAGACATTATGTCTTGACTATTGGCATACTCCTACTCAGACAACCATAAATTCAAACCTGGCCCAGGACAATCATATAAGGAAAAATAGTATTAAAAATAAAATACACAAGTTTGTAATACCACCCACCCTTCTTCAAATCTCCTGTCTTATAAACCTTTCCAGTGACGTTCCTCTGTTACTTCCTCTCATATTCACTGTGAGGTAGAAATTAGCTATATAAAATATTAGCTATTTAATATTTCTTAAATATATTTTTATTGATTTCATAGAGGAAGGGAGAGGGAGAGAGAGATAGAAACACTAATGATGATAAAGAATTATTGATTGTCTGCCTCCTGCACTCCCCCTACTGGGGATCGAGCCCGCAACTGGGCATTTGCCCTTGAGTTGAATTAAACCCAGGATCCTTCAGTCCGCAGGCTGAAGCTCCATCCACTGAACCAAACCAGCTAGGACTAGCTATTTAATATTTTTCAATCACTGTTTAAAATATCCAGTGTTTACAATACCCTTTCCACTATCTGATGAGTCTATCGCTTTGAGAACATAATGGGGGGGCTGGAGGGGGAATGGCTATGTAATATTTTGTTTTTCTTGACATGTTATGTACATTAGTAGAAGTAAAGTATGTAATTTTATCAGAAGAAGTATATTCAAGATACTCCACAAATGTTTGTGCATAAAATATTGTTCCCTCTGTCAATCTCTTTCAGATTCCATGAGCTTAACTGAGGGAGTAAATTTAGCCCCCCCTGTACCAAAATTTGCTATTTTATATCTCAATACCCAATACATCTGAATTCTTACAGGCTAGGATAAATGGAATAAATCTGAAAATGTGTATGTGGAACTAAAGTAGCTTTCTCACACCCAACAATTGATATTTCACTATTAATTCTTTGGTGACATCTTAATAAATAATCTATTTTCATATTATTCTCAACAAGTGTGTTTCTGTGGAGGTCTTTCAAATACAAAACTTCAAATAAATACCTTACAGCCATTTTAATGAAGAGTTTTTAAAATATGCAAAAAACGTAAATTATTTTAAAAAGTAATGAAGCATTCATAAATTAAGAACTATACCCAGGGAGGAACCAAGATGGCAGCATAAGTAAACACACCTGAACTTGCTGCTGCACACAACCACATTAAAACTACAACTAAAAGACAAAATGAATATCACCCAGAACCACAGGAAGGCTGGGAGTAGAAATTCTACAACTAGAAGGGAAGAGAAAAGCGCATTGAATCTGGTAGGAGTGTTGGGGACCAGATGTAAGCTGGCAAGGTCCTTGCACCTGTAGGGGCTAGCAAGACTGGGACCCTTACCCACACAGTTTTCCCAGACTTGTTTGGATGGCGTTTATCAGTAGAATAAGAGCAATATTTGTAGAATGAGATCAGCCTTTCATAGCTTACCAAGAAGTCTGTAACTTTTTACTGAGATATGCTGTACTGAGAACTTGTCCTTCTGCTGTGTCTCTCCCTTAGAGATTAAGAGGAACAAAGAATACATTCCTCTTGACAGACCTCCTATTCAGTGTGTTGTGTATAAATAGTATTGTGTGGCTAATAAAGTTGCTTCAGTTCATCAAGAGAACTGGGGTCCTCCCGATCCCGCTTTCCTGTCTTTCTTTCTTTTCTCAATTCCCACCTCCCTGCCTCAGCCCGGCTCAACCCTGTCAGGCTGGCCCTGACAGATCTGGCACCCGACCTAAGGGACTGAGGAACTGGGAAAAAGACTGTGAGGAACTCCTCCGGATAAAGAGTGCACTCGTTAAGGTAAGGAAGGAGCAATTTTTTGATAGTCAGGAGTAAAGCATGGGGCAATTAGAATCTAGAGAAAATGCTCTTTATGGGCAAATGTTAAAGTTTATGCTCAATAGTAAAGGAACTAAGGTTAATGACAAGCAAGTAGAAAATTTTTTAAAATTCATTCAGGAGGTCTGCATTTCCTTATCAAATTTAATACGGGATTATTTAGATCCCAGGCATGACCATAATCAACCGTCTCTTAAACCAGAAAAAAAGGAGAAGCAGTGTGATAGCACAAAACAGGGGTCTAAAAAAGACAGTATATTAAAAAGAAATAATGTAACTTTTAAAGACAATTTAACTCCTCAAGATGAGGAGGATTTTGAGGAAGCTGCTGCTCTTTGTCATGATGATAAAACAGGTATTGTTCAGGCAAAAGAGGAGGAAAAATGTTTTTCTGCTGGAACTGAAGAGGGCAGTGATATAGAGGATGTGTTGGAATGCTTTTTAGAAAAATTAAAGCTTCTTGGCAAGAAAAAGAGAAGCCGCGGGGGCCGTTCCCGCGCTCTCCGCTGCCTTGTGCAGCACCAGTTCCACTCTCCCCTCTCCAGATGGTTTTGCAGGAGGCACGAAAGTGTGGTGAGGAATTGGGCATTCACGCCTTCCCTGTTATGGAACAGGTGAACCCTCACACGGGACAGCGTGAGCGTGCTTATGAACCGCTTCCTTTTAAAACCTTGAAAGAGTTAAAAACAGCATGTGCTCAGTATGGGCCCACTTCCCCTTATACTTTAACCATCTTGGAAACTATGGCCTCAGAGGCTCTCCCACCTAATGATTGGAGAGCTATTGCCAAGGCTTGTTTATCAGGAGGGGATTATCTCTTGTGGAAATCAGAATATGATGAAAAGGCTAAGGAGCAAGCTTCTCGTAATCGAGCTGCCCAGATTAATATTTCTTATGAAATGCTGGTAGGTGAAGGAGTTTATGCTGATACCCACAACCAAATTCAATACCCCCAGGAAGCTTATGGACAGATTAATGGAGCTGGGATTAGAGCCTGGAAAAAGCTGCCCACCTCTGGTCAGAAAACAGAGGAGCTCTCAAAAATTATTCAAGGGCCAGATGAAAAGTATCAGGATTTTGTCTCTCGGCTATTACAGGTTGTTGGCCAAGTAGTGGTGGATGGAGAGGCTGGCATGTTAATAGTTAAACAGTTGGCATATGAAAACGCCAACACTGCCTGCCAAGCTGCACTGCGGCCCTATCAAAGACAGGGGACTCTCTCAGATTATATCCGCATTTGTGCAGATATTGGTCCCTCATATATACAAGGAGTTGCCATTGCAGCTGCATTAAAGGGAACCACCATTCAAGGAATTCTTCAGCAACAATTTAGCACAGGGAAAAGTCAAACACACAAGTGTTACACTTGTGGAGGAACAGGACACATAGTAAAACAGTGTCCTTCTAATAAAGGGGTTAATAAAAGAAATGGCAGAGGTCCCAAACAACCTGGACTGTGCCCTAAATGTAAAAAAGGAAAACATTGGGCAAATGAGTGTAAATCTAAGACAGATATCCAGGGAAATTCTTTGCCTCAACACCAGTCGGGAAACTACCAAAAGGGGCCAGCCCAGCCACGGCAAATAACAGGGGCATTGTCTATTTACCCTCCTGTCCCTGTGCCATCTCAAGGCCAGCAGTCTGCACAGCACCCAGCCTGCCACAGAAAACAAAATAGATACAAGAGCTATTCCGAGCAACCCCCAGAAGTACCGGGCTGGACATTGGATCCATAGGAATAAGACATTCTGTCTGCCCTGGGTGCTGCCCTTGCCTACTGAAATAAACAAAATATCATTAGATTTAAAACCTTCCACATAGAGAAGAAATGATGATTTCCTTGCATTTCTGATACAGCTACAGCAAATGCCACCAGATCTGAAATTTAAAAATATGTCTGGGATTTCTGTACACGTGTAAAGAGAAAACTAGCTTGGAACTAAGGCGCCCATTGTCCGATTTTGGACATTTAGATAGAGTTCTAAGCTGAAATCTCTTTGCAAATATACAAAATAAAACCCAAGACTGATTATTTCCTAACAAAAATAGCAAAATTTGACCCAAAGGAAAAAAGATGCTAGCTAGATTCTAGCAGCAGGATTGGCATTTCCATAATAAAGAACAGTTTTTAAATACTAATAAAGGGTGTTAAAAGGTTAACTTCAAGGCTGAAAAGGAAATTCAGTAAAATTGTCTGTTACAAAAATTTGCTAAAAAATATACCTTAAAATAATAAATTGGATCTAAATCTCAACAATTATTGAAATATAATAATTATAAAAATCTAAATAGCCCAGGTAAAAGACAGCTACCCCCTCTATTTAAGGCTGGCTTCCCAAAGCAATTTCTAATAGAGGAAGGCTAGCCTTCCTTCCCCCAACAGAGCAGGTAGGCCAAAAATTTCCTGCCAGTGACAACTTTTAAAGAGAGGCTTGCTTCTCAGTTTCCCATCCTTAGTAGAAAGAATGTAATTAATTTGCATTTTAATGGTTACCTGTTTTCAGTCAATGGCACCCTGAGGCTTAGGAGTTAGCTAAATTGAATTAGATATTCTGAAATAACAAAATGCTAAAACTAATCTAAATTTCCCTCACGAAAAATCTAAAGGACAGAATTAAATCTATTGATTATGTCATGTATTTTTAAAGTTTATTCTTAAAAATGTTACTGATTGAGAAATGCTAAATATTTAACTTGCCAGCTAAGAGTTTATAGTTCTAGTTAAATAAACTAGGAGAAATCATATAATTATAATAAAATTTCAACATTTGTCTAATTGAAAAAAGAGGATAAATTCTGTTATCCCAACCAAAAATTTTAAATACAAAGATCAGTTTTAATTTAATTGATATCTCTTAATAATTATAAAAGGTATATAATCTTTAAATTATATATACACATATATATTTAATACTCTTTTAAGTTAGATTTCAAAACTATAATCAAGGAATGACTTTAGGACATTTCATGGGCCCTGAAATGTTTTCAAAAGTTTATTCTCTCTTCTTAAAGGATTTTTTAATAAAACCAATTTAATATACTTGAAATCACATAGAAAGCTATATCAAATAAATATTAATAAATATATATTTTAAGTTTTTGCCTCTAAGAAAGGGCAAAACAAGTTATCTTATTTAGTATTTCTTAAAATACAACAGTAGAATTTTAAGATATAATTTAAAATAACAAAAGCTCATTAATAATTTTTAATATTTTACAACAGCATATAATGAAGTATGGTACCTATTTGCTTTGTTTAACAATGGACAGGTTACTTTGATTTTCTAAATTGTATAAGTCATCCCATTCGATTGAATGCCTTATTGATTGAATGACTATCCCATTGATTGTGATCCTACTGGTTATCGAAGCACATTCTTCTGTACCTGGGAAACAGGACAGCACAATTACCCTAAATTGTTTTAGTGGCCACAGGTGGTGCGTTCCAGTTGACTCAGTGGTCCTAAGACCAGGACAGTGCAATTACTCTAAATTGCCTCGATGGCTCTAGATAATGTGTTTCTATCAACTCAGTGATCCAGAGACCCAGAACTGTAATTTAGATAACATGCCTAAGTTTAACCCAGGTTACCCAAAGGCTCTAGATAATGTATTTCTGTCAATTCAGTGACCCCGAGACCCGAAACTGTAATTAACATGCTTAATTCTGCTTCTGTAATCTGCTTTTTTGCGAGCCAGGTGCCTCATTCCAAACCCTGGGATGTAATCAATACCTTTGTGCTTTTTGCCTATATAAGTCTGGTTTTGCCACCATCTTATTGCTATGAGATTTGGGAATGTCCCCTCATAGTCCCGGATTGCAATAAATATGACTCTTTAATTCGACTTCTTGAGGCGTCCTTCTGTGATTCGTGGGGTACATTACAACAATTATACATTTATTCCAAACAAACTTACAAACTAATTGTTTGGCAGCAATTTAATAAGAACATGAAAGGATTTTATCCCTTCCACTGTGTGGAAGGCCCCCTGGGAAGGCACTTAAGCATTCTATATTGACCTCTCTTGACCTTTTTGCCAAGGGGGTCCCTCTTCCAATTGCCTACAACTGTTGCCTAAGCTCTCTGTTCATACTGAGGTTGAAGCCTCATTTTGGCTGGTACCATAGATCTGTCTCTTGCCCAATAGCATAAGCTGGGCCCTCTCTGGAGAACAAACCTGGGTTCCCCATGATCAATGCCGGGGCCCCGCCAGCAGCCGAGGGGATCCAAAGGCAGTTACTGGGCATGGAGGCCACAGGGGCATACGCTACCAAGGAGACAGAACTAAACCTCACATCACCCTGCTTGGCCCCAGAGGATGGCTGGTAGTCAATGACGGGTAAGACCCCTCTGGGAGGGGCGACCTAAGACAGGCACAGTCGCAGGGGGCCTCAGGGGAGAACTTGGGGGTCAACAGAGGTGGGGCAGAGATCCTCACCCCCCCAACTATGCAGGGGCTTGAACACTCGCCCCTTCTGAGGAAGGTCTCCTGCCCCCATGGCTGCTGCGCTTCCCATGCCCAGCTCAGATCGGGACCTAGACAACAGAAAGAGACTTAGTCCAGCCGAAATCGGTACCCAGATAACAGAGACTTGACTAACAGCAACTACCCTATATCTAAATCCAGCTTAACACCAGGAATGCTCAGGGCCTTCTCAAGGATGCAAAATAATCCTTTCCATTAATATTTACAGTATAAACTAAGATTGTTATTAAAGTATTAAATTTGACAGTAAAATAATAGTCAAATTTTAAGATTAATTAAAACTAGCTCAAGAAGTATTAATCAGAATTTTCATTTCATAGATATATTAACATACTATAAACCTAAAGCAGTCATATTTTTATACAAAAATTAAAATTAAAAGTTATCAAGACTGCATTATAAAATTTCCAAAAGCCTCCTAATAATTAAATTTAAAAAAAAAGGGGGGGGGATAGTGGAAAGATAGTGGAAAAATACCATGTAAGGAAAAATATCCTGTAACTAATTTACATCTAGAAAAATTTTTTCATTTATAATGCTAATAACAAGACACCCATGAAAACACATATGGTGTCAAATAAGCCAAAGGAAAATCGTTTGGACAAAAATTAAAAGAATCCCAAGTCTAAATTATAGATATGATTCCTTTATTAACCTTTGGTCGAGA